AGTGAAGATTCAATGCTTTACTAGTGAGGGATCAGGGACTTTATTATGCCTGGTGTATTGATCTGAAGGAATACAGTGCTAAATAGATTTGTATGGAGATTTGTGTGAGTGACCATATTCTGTTGAGAGACACCTAATTCCTGATACACATGTAACAATGTTGTGTCTTTCAAGTTAAACCCGGGTATTGGGAAGAACAAATTCAAATAGAATATTTATGTAAGAGAAAAGGTAATATGGAAATCCTACAATGAATGTAGTGGAATTATTCAATGCTCACCATGAACAGAACAAGTCTTTGATAATGTTTACAATATCACAGGTTCTCTGTTATCTCAGTGTAGATATGGTAGATACAAATGTTCTGTATTGACACAAATCCCAAATATTGATAATCAAGTAGATTCTTGTTTTGATTGGCTGCTAAGTGTTAGTGGACCGCCTCTGTGGTCTGGTGGTAGAGCGTCTGTCCGGAGAGAGTGTGGTCGGGGGTTCTATCCCCAGCCGTGTGATACCAAACAGACTTTAAAAGATGGTACTTGTTGTTACCCTGCCTGGCACTCGGCATTAAGGGGTTAAAACAAGAACTGGTCAGCTTGGAGTGAGTATACAGTGTCGGAGCGGGGTATTCTTGTTAAACTGCAGCGTGGTGTCTCATTACAAGCAGCCATACACACACACACACACATACATGCATGCATGTCGCTAAATAAGTGCAATAAACTTGAACGCTACTCTAAACCCCATTTCACCTCACCAATAAGTGTTACTGTGCACAAGCATATGTTGTTCTTTAGTGCCCTACTCCGCTGCTTCTGAATTCACATACCTATATATTTTAGAGGTGACCGATACCAGGACCAATTAAGAGGTAGGTGCCTGGTGGTACATTTTTGCATTAAAATAATAAACATGGTTTTTTTTAAACTATTTTGAAACCAAAAAGTATTTTTTTCCCAATATGCCTGACAAAGGCACTTAGTTCAGAATCATGGATAAATTACTCAATTTATATACCCTCATAAATCAGACTGTGATATTTCAGTATGTATTCATCAGCATGTGTTGTGATAAATTATTCAGAGAAAAGTAGGATCAAGTCACTTCATTGTTTACTTGCCGTAATTCCACTGTGTGTTTTTGGTACCTTAGTATCTTATTATATGTTATAAAGTCTCAATAGGACACGTAATAACTAACTTTCATGATTGCCATCCTGCTGAGCTATTTTAAGATATATAATATATTATTATTTTGTTATTGTGATGGATTATTGTGCTTGGACAGTTCATAGAAGAGGTGTTGATGGCAACACTAGGCCAGTACAAACACATTATCACCATCTTTACATTGTCATGTTTCCAGAAAATGAGGGTGACATTTGTATATGATCCCTTCCAAGAAAGAACACTTACTCTCCTCACACATTGACTTGTGTCTGAATCACAATGAACCGAGGTGAGGCAGGAGGTGTTTGAGTGAGGTGTGGGTAATACAAGCTAATGATTTATATATGCTGGCCTATGAGGCAAAGTTCACAGGTATAGAATTCACAAGGGACTTTGTAGCATTACACTTAGAATATTTCTGTAGCCACTATCCAGGGTAATGGTCGGTGTTTATGCTGTGAATGGGGAGGTAATTGCTCTGAGCTGTCTGTTCCTGTGTACATGGTATGTGTGTATGGGCATGCAGGAAGTGTTCATTGGACCATGTAATCTCTGACCGCTCTGGTCAGGGTGACCACTCTGGTCAGGGACTCCCACAGTGATTTCTGCATGGTCCACTGATGGCTGGACTTCCTGCCATGCCTCACAGGAGGGTTGGCAACCCATTCAGCTGCCGTTGTGATTTATGATGGCAACCTTGGTAATTTTGTTTAATGTGAAAGTAATGTGCTTGGAATTAATCAGTATTCCAAGCCCTTGGATTGATGATATTTATAAGCAAGCTCAATTGGGATCATGTTGATAAATTTCCTTTCAAATTTATGGATATCTTGTTATAAACCAAATCATGTAGATGTATGAATATTTATAAAGGCCACTAGAATGCTCAATAAAATCTATGTTTATTGGCCGGTAGATCTTATTTGTCATTGTAATGCTGTAAGCAGTTTCTATCATGTTAATATAGAATGCATTTACAGTTAAGGTTTGCTGAACATGCTAACTTTATTAATAGGAATCAGATGCAGCGATAAACAATTAAGTGTAAAGATAAGGGATTAGTTCAATCTAATTTCACAACTTGTCTGACTCTAGAATTGGTCGTATGCCACCCATGCTTGTTATGAGAGGCGACCAATGAGACCGTGGTCAGCCTGGGTTGATGGATGTATCCAAATTGTGTGGATTAATGCTGATGATGCCAATCTCACTGGATCGTCTGGTCCAGACTTGATCGTTTACTGACTGCCATCATAGTAGTTTCAATATTACAGAGTACGGTGTTAAAAAAACAAACAAACAAACAAAAATCTTCAAAGGGACAGGATGTCAATCGTTCTGAAGCTTTGTTTGTAAATAATAGAAGATAACACCCAAGGTTATATGGCTCTGCTGAGGATAAATACGCAAATGGAAATAGTTTTTCACTTTTTAGGATAATTTCTCATTGAAAGGTATGTTTATCTAATTGTATAGACTCATCCAAAATGAAACAGGTGAAAAACATATGAATGGACTGTGTAAGATGTGGCGATGTGACAGAGGTACTAAGCTGGCCGCAAGGAATTCTGGGTAGGAGAGTGATTGGCTTCATACGACCAAGGCATATTTATATTGTAATCTAGGCTTTGATAAACACTTGCTTCTAATCTAATCTAATCAAGCTGGGAATTAGTATTTTGTAACACATCCATGAGAAAAACACACAAGCCTTCCCTTCAATTTGCCTCGTATAAAAGACATTATTGAAGCCTGTTTACTCTGCACAGTGCTTGCATCGTCGGTTTTGCTTTGAGCAGCACTATTGTTTTGGTTTGAGAATTGAATCAGGGATGTGACGTCACACTCGGAAATTATTTCATGCATGATTTAAAAACACACAGAACTGTTGACGTACTGTCCCTTTAAATCTAGAACAGAACAGAAATAATAGCTTAGTTAATGAAAATGAATGTTTTTGTCAAGACTAATATATCCTGAAAATGATTTCAAGAGACAATTTCATTTGAATGATTACATGAAAATATTCTCTATGAGGATGTAAAAAAAAAGAACTAAAAAAATATGTAACATTTCATCAGCCCCAATTTTTGAAGGAAGTATACCGTATTTGACGTAATAAGTGCCCCGCTCGAATAAGCGCCCACGGCGATATTTGCTAATATATTGGCTAGTGAACAATCTCAATTAGCACCCCTTCCGATTGATCAATGTACACAAGACTTATTTATTCATGTATAATACACACTCGTGTGTTATATGCACCCTTAATTATGGGCAATTAAATTTTGGAAAAATATATCTGTCGTGTATAATACGCACAGACTTTTCATTTGTATCATTTCAGGCTGTCAACATAAACCACAAAATATACGATCTTTCAACTCAGTTTTTTTTTCACCAAAATTTTATTCTAATAAGAGGCCCCTATTTCTAATTTTGAGAGCACCCTGGGCACTTATTCTGTCAAATACGGTAATTCTATGTTGAACCACTACATTTGTGTGGGCCTTAACTGATGTGCTACCTTATAAGGTATAGGCAATGTATTACTGCCTTCTTGTGTTGAATCGTGACAGATAGGGCAGGTTATCAGCTGCTGATAGATGGTTTCACTTCTCATCACGGACATCACATGTGTTTGCTGTGGAGATATGGTGACAATGACAGAGGGCTGAATGATTGTGTCTGTTTCTAGTTCATCTATCGTCCTATTGTGTACCATTATGTAATGGCATGTGCAACACAATACATATATGTCATGTTTCACATAATCATAGATGCTCTTGATATTAGGACAGTGTTCAGAATTAAACCTGAAAATCAAAGCGTCCTTGTCATAGCCATGAAAAACTTACTATTAAAAGATTAAATTAAAGGGGAGCCCAGATTTCAATAGTAGCAGCAGATCTCAAGGAGCATACTATTGCAGTAACACTTAAATGTACATTATTATTCTAGTACACTATTTAGAAGAGTAGACACAATTTATGTATACCGGTGTGCTCCTGGATTTCACGAAAGTGGTAAAACGTCTAAAACCTGTTTCGCTTCGGGCTTTCCTCCCAACAAAAGCTGACACCTCGTGCTTTAACTGAAATACTGCTTAAAGCAAAGTTATACCGAACTCACTCACGCATCCATCAACTTCTAAGAGATGCCTATCAAACAATGTAGTTAGCATGTGTAGAGGTCATAATAAATATTAAACTTCTGATCAGACAGATTCAAGTCCTTTCAGGTAAGATCAGGATCAGGTGGTTAGGCTCACTGACTTGGTATCCCAATTGCGTGGATCAATGCTCATGATGTCAATCTCTGGATTGTCTGGTCCAGATCCGATTAAATTAACAGACCTCTGTCATATTGCTGGAATATTGCCGGGTGTGGTGTTCAACAACAAACAAATGAAGTAAAACATGGTCTAACTGGTATACTTATGGCTTATCAGACTTTTATTGTGAAGTAAAAACAAGATGTTACTGATCTCAAGGGGATTATTATCCTCTTGTCGTACTATCGTCTGCTATCTTCATGCTATATTACACCCATCGACTTGACAGTGCTTAAGGCACCTGTGTCACACTTGAGTATGTAGGCCTGTGATAGGTATTTAGAACATGCTGAGCATGGAAGCTATGTGAAGGCTGCTGTCAGGGACAAAGGGGTTTACCCATCGTTATGTCACACTCCCCATCTCCAGCTACACCCACTAAGGTCAAGGCCAGCTGTGGGCAGTGATGTGTGTGAGGGATGGGAGGGTAGGTGGCTTTGGGTTGCTGAATGCAATCACTGTAAGGTGAAGGTCAGGCTAGGGTAGCACTAGTCAGCCATGTGTGGAGTCGCTGGGTGTGGATTGTTAGTAGAGAGAATAGAGAGTATGGGTGTAGATATAAGCCAGACATGAACACAACACGTGAAACTCTAGTTATTGTACTGAGGAATGTGTAGAGGAAGCTGACTGACAGAACTCTCCTGTGAGAGTGGGACTGTGTGAGGTTTATGCGGGATTAAGGAGAAGCAGTGTTATTGGAAAATACTGACTAATGCCATGGATACCGGATGAACTTTTAGAGTGAGTGAGTGAGTTGGTTTTTTTCAGTATTCCAGTTATATCACGGCGTGTCAGCTTAATGTGGGAGGAAAGCCCTAAGTGATGCAGGTCTCAGACGTTTACCACTTCAGTTAAACCCACGAGCACGGGTATGGTGCTGACAAACCTAGAAACATAATCGGGGCGAACCGCGATTTGAACCCACAATCATAGGTTTGTGGCGTGCCCAAGGGACGCAACTCTGCACAGCAAATCACAGCGCCTTAGACGACTGGGCCAACCGTACCCCCTGAACTATTAGAGAATTCGGTGTTGTTAATTTAAGATGTACTCAGAAATGATTTTAGTGATTTGAGGTACATCACCCTTTCATTATGACGTGTGGAAGATTATCTGTATTGGGTTATGGATCAACTTGTTTGTTCTCTCAATGCGACAGATGCTGGTATCGAATGAATAGACATTGAAATTCATAAGCAACCCTGTCTTCACTGAAGCTTCACATTCTAAATGCCCCTCATAGATACAGAAACTATACTGTTGAAAGACCTGGTTGGTGTATGATCTATGTCCGGTGTTTCAGATTGCCATGGAGCCCTGGTCGTTGATGCCTATAAGACAAATGACTTCAATTTCTGCACAATATGATCACCACTCACCAGGGTGCCATTTTACAAAACAGCCTTTAAATACTCCGATTGTCGTAAGTCTGTTAGTCCCTGGAAGGGAGTTACGATCATCGTACTGCTAAGATTGGTTTGTCCAACGGCACCCTAGCTGGCCTATATTTGATACCTGGCCAGCTAGCCCATGATAGTGGTCTTTGCAGTAGTTGATGACTTGACCCATAAGCACTACATCAGTCTGAATCAGTGTTGTTTTTATTGAATTGTTCATTCTGTGTAACATGTGTGTACTTATCATGTATTTATCATGTTTATGATTGTCTTTGCTTCAGCAGGAGATGCTCTTGGATATTATACACAATATCTGCTGGCTAACTGTTTCATCACATCTGGCATGGTAAGTTATTTTATCATATACATAGGTGTGATAGATGCAGCTCTCGTGTGAATTTTACAGTAATATAGTTATTGGTATCAACCTTATCAGTGCAGCTTCGCAAAATAATATTATGAAAACTGTTCAGAATTTCAAAATGGATGAAATTGACTGTGCAGTTACTTATAGATTTTATTTGCTATTTCCACAAGCAATGGAAGAAATAGACATCACATACTTAGAATCATTATTTTGGCTTAGTGGAAAAATACCATGTTAACTTTTGAAATGGTCCCTTACATTTAGCAAGTTCAGTGTAATTGGTCAACACCATTGCATGGGCCATCTCAACAGTTCTGCTTTCCTCTAACAGGCAACGAACCAAACTGCTGCAGATCACGTTTACTTCTTTTCATGTACACACTTATGTTAAATCAATTACACTCAGATCTACAAATCTGACGTATGATTACTTCTAAGTTTACCAAAAAATTACTCCATTCCCACTCGTTTTTGACTTGATAAACAACCCCCTTAACAGTTAAAAGCTAAGAGGTTTTGACATTACCCCCGCTAGCTGACACATGGGATTGAGGGCAACCTGCATCCTTGGACCAACTTCCTGCCCAGCGAAACACAACATAAATGTCATCTAAATGTTGATCTCAACTTGTACACTTGCACTTTGAAGCTAAATATTGATGGGCGGGTTCAAGATGTTTGTTTATACAGACAAGACAACAAAAAACACACAGGTGAAAGACAGGGATTGCTGTTTCTCGTTGAGGGAGTTTTTGTTTAGTTTGTGGTGAAGGTTGGATCATTAGGACGTAAAATCAGCATTTCTGACGGGAAATTGTATGTATCTTATCTTTATCAAAGGAAAATATTGAATCTGTTCTCTAAACCATATTTAACATGTTTAGTTGATGAATTTGATAAATTTCTAAGGTTTAGAGATTTCAAAGTTTGGAAATATATTTCAATATTTGTGTCACAAGGAGCTTGTAATATTGTTAGCCGATGGTGAGTAGTATATTAATCATGTTAATTGGCGTATTAATCATTCAAGTCGGCTTTTCTGCCTGTTTAGTTATTCATCTATGTCTAGTTTCTCATAATTTATGGTATTATTTGTGAACCCTGAATTTATTAAATGTTCTTACAGTCGCCATTCATGTAAGTTGGCATGATTGGTGTGTTTACACTAATGAGGTGATCCTTGCCAGATTGTTCATTTTCTATAGACTTCCATACCTCTTCAGTCAGTTGAGACCTCATACAGTTAAGTACGGTTATAACGAACACGCTTATAACGAACTAACGGATATAACAAACTAACTTTTTAGTCCCGACTCTGTGCTGTAGTTACGCTGTATATATGCTTATAACGAATTACGGTTATAATGAACTAAAATTAGTAGTCCCTTCGAGTTCGTTATAACCGTAGTTTACTGTACATATATTGTGCCTTTCACTGCCTTCTGTGGAGAACAACTGGTTTGTCTTACCGGTTACCACATTTATGTTTGTTTGATAGGCATTACTTGTTTAATAGGCATTACTTAGAAGTCAATCTTCTAACAGGACATGGTTGTTTCACAAGAAGTACCATGACATTGTTGTGCATCTTATTACCGATGGTATCGTGTTGGTCTGCTGATTGGTATTACAACAAGGTGTATTCCTACAGCCCGCTACACTGTTGACCTATGTTGTTGTCGTGTGCCGTTATTTCCTGTTTGAACATCTTGTCGCAACAAGATCAGAATGATAAGCATTACATATGGATGTCACTGTATATCGCGATGTCAATGTCTCGATGATTTTTTAATAATGATGCTGTTTTGGTATTTATTGTGACTATTGATACAAAAGTAATAATTGACTGCTACAGAAATGTTTACATTTATTTAAATTACCATGGTTAAGATGGACCACTCAGGCAGGCAGAAAATTATATTTTAAGCATTTTTGGTTCACTCTAGTTCATACTGAGCTTTAAATTGATTAAGTAAGTCCATCTCTACATAGGTGACCTTCATATATCTATACACATTCCTATAATAATGTCCAGTTAATGACACCCCTTGCGTTAAAACTTGCTGTTTGAGATTTGTGTTCATTCATATATTGTTACACATGCTGCGAGAACTATATGCATTATGCAGTATTGAATTACTTCCATGCATAATGAACTTAATAGTCCCATTAATATATATTGAGATAATTTAATTACCACATAGAACACGAGAGTGTTTTTAGATTGAGTTGGCGTGGTTGGTGATAGAAACAACGAGAATTATGACATCATTGTGGGAAAATAGGTTCCCAGCACCCCATGTTTGTCACAAGGAACTACTGATACGAGGAGCTAGTGTTTACAGTTGTACCGTTATGACACGGGGGTTTGCTCATGCTATCAACCACTGTTTAGTGTAGGCCAGACTCAGACATGTGCGTGCCACCATGATGCAACTGGAATATTGCTGACAGCAGCATAAAACACGTCACCCACTTACTCATTCACGGAGAGGTTGAGATGTTAATTGCTTTTTTATAAACTTTTTCTTCTCATATCTCACAGTCGACATATCCCCTGAAACAAATATTATACAGCCCATGCAAGACTATAATAGTGGCAAGTCTAGAAGAGAATCTCTGGGTTCCTTTTATTATATTTCATTTAGATAATTTAACAACTTTTTTTTCAGTAAGATATGTTCGTTTCAGAGACTAGATGTTAGTCTAAGTCGACACAACACATTTAAATATTGAGATTTGCATAGCAATTGTAGTTATTGACAGCACAGGAGATGGGTGTTCTGATGTCATGGGTGTGAGGAGAAGGGTATTCTTATGTCATGGGGGTGGGGAAAAGGGTGTTTTGGTGTCATGGCGTGGGGAGAAGGGTGTTCTGATGTCATGGGGGTAGGAAGAAGGGTGTTCTGATGTCATGGGGTGGGGAAAAGGGTGTTTTGGTGTCATGGCGTGGGGAGAAGGGTGTTCTGATGTCATGGGGGTAGGAAGAAGGGTGTTCTGATGTCATGGGGTGGGGAGAAGGGTGTTCTCATGTCATGGATTTGAGGAGAAGGGCATTCTTATGTCATGGGGGTGGGGAGAAGAATGTTCTGATACCATGGGTGTGGGGAGAAGGGTGTTCTGATACCATGGGTGTGGGGAGAAGGATGTTCTGGTGTCATGGATTTGGGGAGAAGGGTGTTCTGGTGTCTTGGGTGTGGGGAGAAGGATGTTCTGGTGTCATGGATTTGGGGAGAAGGGTGTTCTGATACCATGGGTGTGGGGAGAAGGATGTTCTGATACCATGGATTTGGGGAGAAGGGTGTTCTGGTGTCTTGGGTGTGGGGAGAAGGATGTTCTGGTGTCATGGATTTGGGGAGAAGGGTGTTCTGATACCATGGGTGTGGGGAGAAGGGTGTTCTGATACCATGGGTGTGGGGAGAAGGATGTTCTGATACCATGGATTTGGGGAGAAGGGTGTTCTGATACCATGGATTTGGGGAGAAGGGTGTTCTGGTGTCAAGGGTGTGGGGAAAAGGGTGTTCTGGTGTCATGGATTTGGGGCGAAAGGGTGTTCTGATACCATGGATTTGGGGAGAAGGGTGTTCTGATACCATGGATTTGGGGAGAAGGGTGTTCTGATGTCTTGGGTGTGGGGAGAAGGATGTTCTGGTGTCATGGATTTGGGGAGAAGAGTGTTCTGATACCATGGGTGTGGGGAGAAGGGTGTTCTGGTGTCAAGGGTGTGGGGAAAAGGGTGTTCTGGTGTCATGGATTTGGGGCGAAAGGGTGTTCTGGTGTCATGGGATTGGGGAGAAGGGTGTTCTGATACCATGGATTTGGGGAGAAGGGTGTTCTGATACCATGGATTTGGGGAGAAGGGTGTTCTGGTGTCTTGGGTGTGGGGAGAAGGATGTTCTGGTGTCATGGATTTGGGGAGAAGAGTGTTCTGATACCATGGGTGTGGGGAGAAGGATGTTCTGATACCATGGATTTGGGGAGAAGGGTGTTCTAATACCATGGATTTGGGGAGAAGGGTGTTCTGGTGTCAAGGGTGTGGGGAAAAGGGTGTTCTGGTGTCATGGATTTGGGGCGAAAGGGTGTTCTGGTGTCATGGGATTGGGGAGAAGGGTGTTCTGATACCATGGATTTGGGGAGAAGGGTGTTCTGATACCATGGATTTGGGGAGAAGGGTGTTCTGGTGTCAAGGGTGTGGGGAAAAGGGTGTTCTGGGGTCAAAAATGACAAAGGTTTGATGTTAATGTGATCTTTCCTATAAACTTGGTCCCATTAAGCAATATGTATGCATGTTTGTTTTGTCTACGTTTACATGACAAATTTTCTCTGAACAAACTACAATTTGGGTTGTGTTATTGAGGAGTGATGATCTATGCTTTAGACTCCATATGAAATGTCATTTGTGCACCATCTCAAATTTGCACTGCTTTTAATCAGGCTCTGATAAACCTTGCAAAACCTTGTGCTGTAGATTATTCATGAATTCAGCTCTCTCTCTCTCTCTGCTATTGGGTTCATGGTCTCACAAGCCTCGAGCTAGCTGGCTTCATTATGGCTAAAACACATATATATCCATGATCCAGCCTTATAAGCCTGGGCGTGGTCATGTCACTCCAGTGTAGCTGTACTTTACTATGGCCGGTTGAATGCTGAAACCTATCAATGCACTAAACTTGATTCATCTGCAACTTGAGACATTTATCCATTTATTGTACCTCTCACAACATTTGCGTAATGTTTTCTTATTTAGAATGACACTATACCACTACAGTGTGCCACGTTGAAAGTGAATATTTGATACATATTTTGAAACATATTTTGAGGGAACATGATAAAACAGTAACCGGTTACCATGGTTACACCTACATGTCTTTAAGTGGTTTCTAATCAAATGCTAATATATTTTGAAACAAAATATACGTTGTATGAGCATCCTTATCCTGATCAGTGTCCCCATCATATGGCTTGGTTAGGGCTTCACA